AGCAATAATTTTTCTGAAACATCTCAGGCAAAGGAGACAAAAGAAAAAAATAAACAAACAGGACTACATCAAACTAAAAAGTTTTGCACAGCAAAGGAAACCATCAACAAAATGAAAAGACTGAATGAGAGAACATATTTGCCAATGATACATCTGATAAGGAGTTAATGACCAACATTTATAAAGAACTTATAAAATGTAACACCAAAAAATCTAATTAAAAAATGGGCAAAGGACCTGAATAGACACTTCTCCAAAGAGGACACAGAGATGGCCATATGAAAAGATGCTCAACGTCACTAATTATCAGAGAAATGCAAAGTAAAACTACAACCTCACACCTGTGAGGATGGCTATCATCAATAAATCAACAAACAACAAGTGTTGGTGAGGATGTGGAGAATAGGGAACCCTAGTGCACTGCTGGTGGGAATGCAGACTGGTGCAGCCACTGTGGAAAGCTGTATGGAGTTACCTAAAAAAATTAAAAATGGAGCAGCCTTATGACCTAGTGATTCCACTTCTAGGAATATATCCGAAGAAATCTGAAACACTAATTTGAAAGAATAGATGCACCCCTATGTTCATTGCAGTGTTATTTACAATAGCCACATTTGGAAGCAGCCCAAGTGTCCATTAGTAGATGAGTGGATAAAAAAAGCCATGGTACATTTACACGATGCAATATAACTTGGCCATAAATAAGAAGAAAATCTTATTCTTTGGGACAGTATGGATGGACCTGGAGAGAATTATGCTAAGTGAAATAAGCCAGTCAGAGAAAGACAAGTATCATTTGATTACACTTATATGTGGAATCTAATGAACAAAATAAACTAAGAAACAGGCTGATAGAGACACAGAATAGACTGACAGCTGTCAGAGGGGAGGGGTTTGGGAGATGGGTGAAAAAGGTGAATGGATTAAGCAAAGAAAAAAAAAAAGCTCATAGACACAGACAACAGCCTGGTGATTACCAGAGGGGAAGGGTGTGAGGCGAGGTAGAAGAGGGTAAAGTGGAGATAAATGGTGATGGAAGGAGTCTTGACTTGGGTTGGTGAACACACACTACAATATACAGATGATGTATTATAGAATTGTACACCTCAAGCCTATATAATTTTATTATCCAATGCCACCCCAATGAATTCATTAAAATCTATATACATGAAAGGCTAATATGCAAAGTTTCCCCTCGGGAGTTTGACTGGAAGACTGGGAGTTCAATTGCTCGCTATGACATGTGTTGACCATCAGGGGGCGATGGGGAATGAAGGGAGGCCCTGGCCCGCAGCTGGAAGGCCCCGATTGGCCCTGATCGCTGGCCAGGCCTAGGGACCCTACCCGTGCACGATTTTTGTGCACCGAGCCTCTAGTAAAATAATAAAAGTGACTTTTGATTACTTAATTCATATTTTTATTAGTATTAAGAAGTCTGCTCATACCTACCTTTATGCAGCAACTCCTGACTTATAAGACAAATCAGGGCTGAGCACAGCTGAACACAGGAAAATCACCACATACAAACAGAAAGTAAATTTTATAGTGAGGGCGTCATTAGATAAAAATCTTTCGTCCCTCGTGATAAGCTGTTGAATTTTTGAGTTTCCTTCAGCCATGAGAAAAGACTCTCCCCCCTTTGGACTCTATGCCTATCTCAGGAATGCTGGCAGGTCACATCCTGTCAGGCTCTCTGTGCTTACCAAGAATGCAGAATTGGATGTCTTAGCAGGGTCTCCAGAGGCAACATAGCCTCCATGAGAACAGACATGTGAGTGGTCAGACTGAATTTAGTCAGCAGAGGAGAGGGGAGAAAGGGAGCAAAACTAAGATTCACTAAGTGAGTATTAAGTCCTAGGTACTGAAAGGTGCTTTATCTATGTTATTTAATCCTCATGACAAATTGAGTGCACCATGTAGTATTTCACAGTTGTAGAAAGTCTCCAAGTGTTTGTATATGACTTCAAAGTTTCTACTCTTTCTACTCTAAACTGTGTACCTGAAATTTAGAGAAATTGTTTACATTTGACGCTTTTTTTTGGTTGTTTTAACAACTGTGTATGGCTTGTATCTCATCTCCAAGAATATATATAGTGTATTTGTTACAAAGTTTTCGCCTAATACTAAGTAATACCAATTTACAAAATCCTAATTAATAGATAACTACATTGTGGGTGGTATATCTCAAAAGGGACACTTTCTCTTAGTTAATATTTCACATCTGAAAATGCAGTTCTAAATGAGGATATTAACTACTCCCTTAAAAAGTACTCAAATACTTCAGTGCAAACAAATCTTGCACATAATATATAAAAATCCTCTGTTGCATCTGGAATCTGATAAATATTTATTATCAATGCTGTTTGCTTTTAATCGGTTCAGGATATCATTTCTCCAGCTTCTCAGTAGTTAAATAAAAATGGCATTTACATTACAATATTGCTTGCCAACAATCTCATTTTCTGGTTTAGTCAGCAGTCCTTCATGCTTGATTAGTCTTTAATTATACAAATACCTACATATTAAAAAAAGTTTTCTTTTTTCCATACTTTGAGCATGTAATTATTTTCTCTTGCATTCAATAACCTTTAATTTTAGGATTAAGCAACTGATTCCTTTTAGTATGGATGGATCTTTTCAAGTGTTAAAGCAAATTTGGTTATTGTAGTATGAGAAAAATTAACTTTGGGAAACCTTTCATCAATGCATTTGGTAGTACTCTGATCAGCCGTTACAGAAAGCACCAGGTATCTGAAAAATAAAACTTTATTCTCCTATTTTTTTTTCTATTTCTCTCTGTCTCTTTGGTCTAAGAATGTGATAATTTAAGCAATTAAAGCCTGCAATATACCTATTTTCCCATTTCCATAAATTGGGGCTGAGAGCAGATACTTTACATTAAAAATATTTCAATACAAAGGCTGTTTATAGTTTTGGTAGGAAACCCCACAAACTATGAACATTTATAATTTTTCTATAATAAATCCACAGAATGTTCAAATGTTAGGAGCATTTTATTGAGTGAGATAATGTTTCTCTCAACATTCCAGCCTAACCCGAGGCCAAATAGCAATGAGACTTAGAAGTGGTACCTTGCTTTTCAGAACTAACAGTGGAGATGGGGAAATCCTTCATATACAGTCTGACACAGTGTTGGACGCTTATTCCTTATTCGTTTCCTTCTCCATCCTTGGCTACTAAGTCTAGAAAAAACAACAACACCCATTTCCTTGTGGGAGTCATCTGAAGGAGCAAACTAATTTGAGAACATCACAGCATGCAATTAGCCACATTTATTACGTAGCATGTTCTAGGTTCTGTGTTAGGTTTGAAGGACGTAGAGGTGAGTGACTCACCATGCACTAAACCAAGCCTAGGTTTTTAATGAAGTTTTTCACCCTCTTGTGTTGTCCCTGTTTCCTGTGAATTCCTTTTACTCTCCAGTTTATTTTGTTTTTTGGTTTCAGACAAAGGCATTCCTTAAACATCTATTCCTTCTTTGTTGTTATTTTTTATATAAGAATAAGGCAGTGACCTGACTATGTTGTTGGAGACCCCAAATATCAATAAATGAGTCTTTCCTCTCTGATTAGCTGGGGAGTTTTTTCAGAGAAGAATCCCACAACTACCTAGGGGTGGGGTGGGGCGGGGCGGTGAGGTCGGGAGGTAGGAGGATGCTTGCTTACTTGAATGCCTGTATATATAATCTGAGTGTCCCAATGAGGGCAGGCCTCAGGATGTAAAGTTTCCCTCCATTCCATGGTCATGAGTAAGGAGTTCTCCCCAGCATATAGCTATACCTGATGTCTCCAGGTGTAGAGTTTCTCAATTTCTCATGTACACGGCTGCTGGAGAGAGAGCTGAGGGTCTAACTATTCATTATGCTGTCACTAACCTATCCCCTACTTTCAGCAACATGCCTTCCCCTTCTCATTTTCCATAGCAGCTGGTGTCTCCAACCCCCACGATTTTTGGGGTTCCAATGTTGCCTTGCTTCTCATTGTGTCCCTCTCTCTGGCCCTTGGTATTTAGTTTTTTCAGCTTGGTTAATTCCTCCACCTGCTTTTCCAAATGTTTGTTGACATTACTTGTCTGCTGTTGTCTTGTCTCCATTTAAAAATTTTTTTCTCTTAATGTCATTTTAGTGGGGTTTTAGGAGGGTGTAGAAATAAGCACACTTATTCAATCTATCTTATTGAATAGGAAGTCCTCCCATTTTTTTTCTTTTTGAGAATTAAAAATACATTTCCTAATTTTAGTTTTATATTACCTTCTCCACTCTTTAATTCCTCAGATATTAACAATCATTTTCTGTTATTTAATCTTTCAGTTGAAAACCCTCACGTCTTAAATATACTGAACCAATTAACCATTTTTGTGTGTGTATTGCTCCTGAGCCTTAACTAACCTATCTTGAACTAATAAATTGTTTATTATTCTTTAGAGCAGGAGTTCTCAAATCTGTTGATCATCAAAATCTCTGGCTTTACCCTAGGGATTCTGATTTTGTAGTTCTTGGCTTGAATAAGGGTAATCTATATTATGAAAGAATCCCCAGGTGACTAAAACATTTTCTTTAATTTTTTCTTATGGAAAATAGTAAACACATATAAAAGAAGACACAATACTATAATTAACTCCCATGGACCCATCACTCAGCTTCAGTAATTGTCAACTCATAGTGAATCTCCTTTCATTGGTACCCCATCCAACCCACCCCATTCATATTATTTTTCCCCTCCCATAGATGTCATTTTAGAAAAATTCCAGACATCTGATCATTTTATTTGTATTTCAGTAATACTCTTAAAAAATACTTCAATAATACTCTTAAAAAAACCAACTATATACCATTATTGCTCCTAATATTATAGTCCCTTAATATCATCAGATATCTAGTCAGTGGTCACATTTCCAATTGTCTTATAAATTTCATACTCTTTTTTTTTAATTTCAGAGAGGAAGGGTGAGGGAGAGAGAGATAGAAACATCAATGATGAGAGAGAATCATTGATCAGCTGCCTCCTGCACACCCCACACTGGGGATCGAACCCACAACCCAAGCATGTGCCCTGACTGAGAATCGAACCGTGATCTCCTGTTTCATAGGTCGATGCTCAACCACGGAGTCACAGTGGTTGGGCCATACTCTTTCTTTTTTACAGTTGGCTTGAATTGTAATCTAAATAAGGTCCACATAATGAGATTGGGTACTGGGTCTTTGATCTATAGGTTGAAATCCCCCAGCCCTTCTTCTCCTTCTCCCTTTCTCTCTGTATCTTATAATTTATTTGTTGGAGAAATCTCCCATGTCTAATGTGTGGCCATCCTGGTAATCATGACTGCTCTGAAGCACCCTCTGGGCCACCTAAGAGAGAGGCGGGAGCTCCCACCTTGTTTATGAAACCTTGGCCCCCTTCCCCTCATGTCACCTGCAAACCTTTTAATAACATTGCATTTTTGACTCTTGTTCATCCTGAGATTTAAAAACATCATTAGTTCTACTCGTGTGTGTGTGTGTGTGTGTGTGTGTGTGTGTGTGTGAGATATCTTTCCCTCTCCTTACTGAACACCATTTTTTTTTGTGAGGGAACCTCCCCACTCTAAATTATAATTCTGCTAGCATGGTGTTGGTCACCTCAGCCAGGTTCCTAGAAGTATTCCTGTCAGGTTTTACCAAACGATTTGGAAGAAGGGGATGTCTCCTGTTGCCCTTCATCCAAGGATTTTCTTGTCTCAAGTAGGATCACATTTTGAAAAATGATTAGTTAAGTTGTCCAGTAGAGAGAATACAATATGTTTATAATAATCACCATTTCCATCTTTTCAGTATATTAAGAGGAAATGCAAATGCAAATGCCTTAGTTTTTGTGATGTTTAGTGAAGTGAAATCAGGTGGGGACAGTTTGCATAAATGCTGGAGGTGGCACAGGGAGCATGAAAAGTTACCCACATAATTTACTGCCCAAACCAGAACAGTTTTGAGAGTGAAATGAGTGCTGTTAGTAACTACACTGGGCAGCAGACATATACAGAGACGGCCCAGTTGAAAGGGCGTGTGCAGAGACGGGGCTCAAATCCCAGGTGCACCCCTGACAAGCTGTGGGCCTCCGGTAGGTTCCAGCTTCTCCGAACCTGGGTTCCTACCTCCTGTAGGTGATATTAAGGCCTAAGTAGGAAACACATACACAATGACTAGCACAGTGCCTAGCACATGTTAAACGCTCAACAGTATTTTTATCTTTTAACTGGGTCATCATTTTCTACTGGGCGAGTCTATATGCATTTCTCCAGTTACCAGCGGGGTCCGGCAGCCAGAGCATGTCAGGTGGGGTTAGAGGTGCTCCCACGGGGAGAGAGCCACTGCTATTTCCCTTGGGCCTACCTACTTTATAGCACGTTTATGTTTTGGAAAAATATGATTTAACTCACAGGTGAATCAGATCTACACTCTGTTAAGAAGGCTTGCTCCTCTCTCTATTATATTCTGAATGTCAAGAACCACCAAATGTGTTGAAATGGTGGGGGGAAAAGGAAAAAGGAGGTTAGTTAGAACATGATGGTCCTTATTTTGATGTACAGTTTATGTACATTTCTTCCCAAATGAAAGAAGCGGATTTAAAGCAGTCTAAATCAAGTCTGCATTTCCCAAAGGCCATTGAGAAGATAGTGTAAAGAACAATGGGGCTAAAACAATTTCCGAGGAATCATCTATATATATGTAAAAGAGTAATATGCAAATCAACGGAATGGCAGAACAACCAGAATGAGCACTCGACCAATCGCTATGAGGCACACTGACCACCTCTTGGTTTCTCCCCCTGGCCGGCAGGCTTTGATCCCCTGATGGTGAACAGGGAACTGCAGGTGGGTGGTGGCGGCTACTGGCGGCCGGGGAAGATGGCCCTGATCACAGGCCAGGCCTAGGGACCGTACCTGTGCATGAATTTCATGCACCGGGCCTCTAGTAGTCATATAAGATCTATTTATTTATAGTCCTTACTATGTGCCAGGAATTGTTCTAAATGTAAAAATAAATAGGTGACATTTCTCTTATTAGTAATTATCTTTATCAAGTAATTTTGCAAATAAATTTAAGATGGCCCGATAACAGGCACTTACATGTTTGTGAAATGAGTAGCTGTTCAATGAGAAAACATCATTTACAACAATTATTGATAGTCCTGGGATACACAGAGGTGTGAGACATAGTTTCTGTCCTTATGGGGCTTATAATTCAAATAAGATAACAACCTTGTTCATGTTAACTATGAAAAAAGGCTCAAATTGTACATGCTAAGTGCCCAATCAGAAAACAGAGAAATTACTGAGGGCTGGGCAGGTGTGGGCACTTTGTGGAAGGAGTAGGAAGTGAAGGAAGTGATGTGGGACCAGTGGTGAGGAGAGCAGGCACTCATGGCTGTGGGCATAGCAGCAGCAGAGCCAGTGGGCTGCACAGGGACATTAGGCACCGACAGAGGCTGAGTACAGTACAGGGAGGTGGGAGGCAGGGTGGAGAGTAAGGCCAGGTTAAAGGTCAAAAAAGGGCTTGAGCATGAGGGTGATGTGAAAATGTTATTTAAACACACACACACACACACACACACACACACACACACACATATATATCCAATATATATGTCCACTTTTATTGATTTCAGAGAGGAAGGGAGAGAGTGAGAAGGATAGAAACATCAATGATGAGAGAGAATCATTGATTGGCTGCCTCCTGCATGCCCCCTACTGGGTGGATATCAAACCCGAAACCCAGGTATGTATCCTGACTGGGAATCGAATGGTGACCTCCTGGTTCATAAGTTGATGCTCAATCACTGAGCCACACCAGCTGGGATGAACATCTTTTAGGAAGATTAGCTTGGCAGTAGTGTGCAAAATGGATTGGATTAGGGAGAAACAAAGTGGGAAGAGCAGGTCAGGGTGCTAGCTCTGCCCTGGGCCGGGGCCAAGTGGGAGAACTGAGGAAAGTTCTAGGCACCTTGCATGTGGAGCTCCGATAGCCCAAGGCTTTTCTGGCCAGGGTCCATGCACCTGGCTGCTGATTTGCAACTCTCAGGGGACAGAGCTTTTTCCCTTGATAAATCTTCTAGGGACCTCAATCAGTTTAGGGCCCTGTGCTTCCTTCCTCCCATTTTCTCTCCTTTCTTTCTCTTTAGAATTATCTACTCATTTTGTGGGACTACATTTTCGTCTTTTAATATATTATTTATTTTCTCAATTTAATAGGTTTGTTAAACTAGCGATTTCATGTGACTTTTCAGATTGGGGATAAAAGCGTCCATCTGGTCCAGGGTGTGTGTGTGTGTGTGTGTGTGTGTGTGTGTGTGTGTGTGTAGGGGTAGTGATGGCATTACTGTTTTGTTTCTCTTTGCTTGTCTTTAAAATGTTTTATTGATTTCAGAAAGAGGAGGAAGAGAGATAGAAACATTGATGAGAAAGGAACATCAATTCGCTGCCTCCTACTGGGGATCGATCCTGCAACCCAGCCATGTGCCCTGACCAGGAATTGAGCTGGTGACCTCCTGGTGCTTGGGACAATGCTCAACCAACTGAGCCACAGCGGCAGGGCCTGTTTTGGTTGTTTTTGACTGTTTGGTACAGTGTTCAGTTTTTAGGAGCTCATCATCACAATTAATACGTTGGGACACTGACAAATTTGCTTCCTGAGCTGTTATATGTCTAAGACTTCCCACCTCTGCCTTCCTAAATAGCTGTCTTTCAAGGCAGTGTTTTTCAAATATTTCTTACTATGTCACATAGTAAGAAATATATTTTACAATAAAAGCCAACACATACATATATACAAAAAGTTACAAATATTTCTGTCTATATGTAGATATACTTTCTCTCTATATATAAAACAGAAGCTTCAAGAAAAAAATGCATAGCCTTACTTTTTAATTTTTTAAAAAAATTCTGGTTAAAACAACTAAACTAATATAATAACCACTCACAAAATAGTCCATAGAAAGGTCCAGAAGGTATTGACTGTTGAGTGCCAAGGCACTTGGTTTTCTGTGACTGCCTACATCCCTCAGAAACCGTACCTTGTTCATTCCTGATGAGATAGAGAGAGGACAGGGGCCTTTCAGATTGGGGGTAAAAGAGCACATCTAGTCCAGGAATAAATATGTGAAATTTGGGCAACAGCTCATATGACCAAAAAGAAAAGTCTTAGTGCCACAGAGTCATCCGTTGACTATTGAATGAGGCCTCCTCCCCCGATCCTTCCCAATCCCCTGGTTTAGGGTGATTCCCCATCAGGGAGGCTGATCTAGTTCCTCAATAAAGCAGAACTGGTTGGAGAAAAGTCCTACGTTGCTCCTAAATTTTACCTTTCGAGAATTCCCAATTGAATGTCTAGACAGGGGGCATTTTAGGGCCCTTTCTTTATGTCCCTAATGAGGAGATGTGTTTCATAAACTGAATCAGTCATGATGAATCCCAACTCAGTGTCAAGGTTGTACTTGGAAAAGAATCTGGACTCCCATTTGTTTCTTTAAAAAAAAAATAGTGTCCTTCACCCATCCTACCCCAAACACGTGGTATGGTATAAAGTGGTGCTTATTTAAACGTTGGGATAGATTCCAGGACCATACCTCCCTGGGAACTCTTCACTCACTACAGCCTAGGTTTTTGCCCCCCTGTGTGACACTCCAGGTTATTTCAATCCATGCCCCAGCTGTAGAGTCATTTTGGCAAGGAGATTTTTCTAAAGGTTTTTTTCTCATTGCTTAGAGCCAAAGGTTTTGTCCTCTGACCTTTTGATTCTCGTTCTGCATCTGTAATCAATGTCAGGTCACCATGAGCAAAACTAAAAGGAAGTTAAGTGGGGGGAAAAAAAACCCCAAAGCAAAACGCCCTACAAGCACAAAGCCCCCAGCCTGCCCAGCCAAGTTTTAGAAGCTCACCATTTTGAAATAGTACGGTCGCTTGGAGAAGAGAATATTTCCTCCCCCCACCCCATTTGTTTGGTGCCTGATTTGTTTCTAGTTGCAGC